AATATGGGCAACCCTGTATAATATATATACAATGGTGGTCAAAAGTATTTTGACAAACTTAAAGTGAAATATACTCGGAACTTCGTTTAACTTTTGGTATCAATGGAAAGGTAATTTAAATGTCGTTTGAATGATACAATACTTTTCTTAACTCATTCGATATTTATTGAAAAGGGCAATTCAAAAAAAAAAATCTACTTTTTAAACTTTTTCCCTCGTCTTGAAAACTAAAATTTTTGGATGCAAAAAGTTTCTTTAAACAAAAATAATAGTAACTGCAAAAAGAATTTTTCAAAAATAATTTTTCTTCTATTTTGTATAATTTTTTGAAAATGTTTAGAAATACGCATTTAAGCCATATTTTTCTCTTTTCCATACAAATTTTTTCCGACATTATCACCTTCGAAAAATGGTAAAAAAATAAAAGAAAAATTATTTATTTATTTAATAAATCTGTTAAAGACAAAAACGACATTGTATACTTTATAGGGCATTTATTTAAATGTGGGATCTGTTAAAGACAAAATCGACAATGTAAAAGCAAAGTATGCGATCAAGCAAGCCCAAGATCTCTATGTGAATGAGTGTGGGGGTGTGCTTGCCCTTGTGCAAAGGGAGTCCAAAAAGAAAAATATCAATATCTGTATTGAACTAATCTCAGCTTACAAGCTTTATGCTAATGACAAGCGTAAGTGGATCTTATTTACAAGTACAATTCAGGCTATTCATTTATGATTCTTCAACAGTCGGATTAATAGTACTAATTGCTAACTTAATGATGATGTAAATTGGGATGGCATATTGTCAGAGCCCCTTCTTTCGTTATGGGTGGACTTTACCCCTCAGTTTTCGATCGTCCAGAACATAAAATTTATACGATTCGTAATGCGACCACAAGCGTCCATCAAGTTGCTTGGATGCTGCGATGCTAGCATATCAGCTTATGGAGCTTGTCTATATTTACGATCGAAAGTAACGAAAGCTAAAGTGCTCTGCGCCACGTTGAGAGTAATCCCCTTTGATGGCTTTCACAATGCCAAGATGTGACTATCCAGCAACACTTTTATTAGCTTGTCGTAAGCGTCCAGGAAACCATAAACTTCATTTGCGCCTTTCATTGCTGGTTTTACTCTTCTATTGTGTTTGCATGAATTCGGAAAGCTTGTGAAAATGGCTCAAATCGAGTTTAACCACACCCAGCAATTAATAGACAGGAGCGGACTAACGTACCTCCTTAAAGGCTGCCTCAGCAGATGGAAAATTGTGACTCAGATGCAGAAACTCTTTTGGACAAGGTTGACCAGCGAATATTTGTCCCTAGTTCAAGATAGGAGCAAATGCATTTCGAAGCTTCCAACATCAAGGTCAGAAGCTTCGTGTTCTTGCAAGAGGTCAACATTCGCCCTTTAAAATAGCCGTTTGGACGCATTTAGGAAGTACCCAGCGAGGACGGCATCGTTAGAGTAGCTATGGTCCTTACAGCTACGGGTAAAATCAAAAGAGGCATCGCCAAATTAGACGTTCTGCCCATCGATTCCCATGGAACTGTTCCTCTTCCGACGGGGGAGTGTGTATCTTTGCACTTAACTACTCTTTGCCTATTCTTATCTCTTTTCTGTCGCGTTATCTATTCAGCTAAACTACATCTTATGTCCCTTTAAAGAAACGATGCTTTCGGCGTTCATTTCTCTAACATTAAAATATCATAATATTATACATTACATTTCGCATACTCTTTCGCCTATTTATATTCATACAAGTCATTACACAAAATACTGTTCGATCATAGCCAGCTGCAGCTCCAAAGATCGCAAATAAAATAGATTTAATTAAACCTATCGAGCTCTTAGTTATTTCTAACAAGGGTGGAATTTCAGTCGTCTTTCCCGTTTAGATAAGTTTAGATAATCAGTCGTTAAAAATCGTTAAAGTTTTGATGTTTTTAGGCATTCATACATTTTTCTCGACATTAAGCAACTCGTTCCGATAAAGTTATTTCTATGAAGATCGAATTACTACATCGTATAGCTGTCATAGAGCTCTCTAACGTTGTGAGGATTGAACTAACAATACAAAACAATTTGAAAAAGTTTGTTACAATAGATTTTGGATGAGTCTACTGGATTCTTAAGGTTAAGTTCTAACTGAGGGGTAAAAAAGCTTTGGCAAGCCTATTTCTTTTACGCAATTTTAAATTAATCTTTATGTATTATTGTAAATTGCTTGTTATGGCAGCTATATGATAGAATTATCCAAATTTTGATCAAATTTAATCCGAAATTCAATAACAGTTAGAAAACGCCATCTTGAAAAATTCAAGTCGATCTGATCAAAAACAACGGCGTGAGAATTTTTTATTTCATTCTCTCGTATGGGAGCTATTCGATATAGTCGGCCGATCCGTCTTGTTCCGACTTATATACTGCGTGCAATTACTACACACCTTTTGGGAAAGTTTCAGCAAGATAGCTTTAAAACTGAGAGACTAGTTTGAAGAGAAACAGACAGACGGACAGTCGGACAGACGGACAGACGTACAGCCGTTTCCTGATTTTACTCATGATGCTGATCAAGAATATACATATATACTTTATGGGGTCTGAGGTATCCCCTTCACTGCGTTGCAAACTTCTGACTGAAATTATAATACCCTTTTGCTCTGCAAACGTATTATCGAAAAACATGCGATACCTTTTTGAAATCGATCACAGCAAAGAATCAGAAAGTGAAAAATGTTGATTTTTGTTTTAGTTTTTAAATTATTCAAGAAACGTTAATAAAATTCATAATACTTAAAAAAAAAAATATTAGCACCAGTTTTCAAAAATGGATTTAAAATTAAAGGAACTACCAATATTCATGAGATAACATTATTGAACTATTAAATCTAAGTTATATTCTTCATTTAATACATTGTGGTGCATTCGAAACTATGCAAAATTAATAGAAAAATCGTCATAGCTTCGATGTGGTTAAGGCTGTATGTATATTCTTCGATATATTTGAATACTGCAAAGGGTTTTTAAGCTTCGGCTCGCCGAAGCTAGCTTCTTTTCTTGTTTTTATTTCGTATGTGGTTCCCTGTATACTTGAAAAATAAAAAACGGGACGCTATAAAATATATAACATACCTGGTAATTTATTTATGAGTATAATTTTTTGTTTCTACAAAAAACTCCGGTTTTTTTCCAGCCTATTTTATAATTAGGGTATCAGGTTGTTCAATAAGTTTTGTCGTTCGATAAGAGAGGGCGTCGCCACTAGCCCACATTTTTTTTGTTTATTGGTACGCTCTTTATATAAAAGTATGTGAATTCTGAATCTGAATTTGTTTAAATATTCTTTGCTTACAAGTGCCACAGTGTCACAGTACTTTTTGCAATGGAAAAAATTGAGCATCGTGGAGTGATAAAATAATTATTTTTGGAAGGCTAAGAACCAAAAGTAATTCACGAACGACTGTTAATATTGTATAATGATTGTTCAGCTACAATTAGAACAGTAGAAAGATGGGTTGCTAAATTTAAACGTGGTCGTACAAGCCTTGAATACGGGCTACGTGAAGAAAAGCTTTATGCACTACGGGTCACAAACTGGTTAAACAATTAATTCTGAATACTATTGCAACCAGGTGAAAGAAAAATTTCGTGAAAACATTATTTTTCATCAGGACAATGCATCGTGACACCACGGATTGGAGAAATTGAAGCATCCAACGTATTTACCAGATTTGGCCCCAGCAACTTTCATTTGTTTCCAGAAGTCAACAAATTTATGCGTGCCAAGCGTGTTTCATTAAATGAAGAGGTCATAACGGCTGTTGAAGCGTATTTTCCAGACCTTCCGGATTTTATCTCCAGGGAAGGTATTCACAGATTGGAGGATCCTTGGAGCAAGTGTTTTAATGTTCAGGGAAATTATACTAAATACTAAAGTTTATTTTGAACCATAAAATAGTGGTTTATCGAACCACAAAACTTATTGAAAAACCTAGTAGCATAAATTCCTTACTTAAGTTAAATGCTGTAGAAATTACATAGTAATATCCCAACACTACAACGGTAGCGGTACTAATAATCCCGATCGCCGGTATATAAACTGTTTTTTGTCTACAACCCCTAAAATTGGCAATTTTCGTGCCTGTATTCCGTGCGGTTAATCGCTGATTTCAGCTGTTTTGCAGTTTGCACTCAAAATGCCAAATTTTACGGGTTTACGGACAAAAAGCACCGTTTGTATCACTTGCGGTTAATACGAGACGACACTAGTGTATACGACACGAGTGTAATCTCGTTCTCACCGCACTAGATACATAAGGTGCAATTACCTACCGAAAACGCGGATAACGTCCTACAAACAAAGTTGACTTTGGACATTGGATGACTGCACCAAAAATAGTGTGTCGCGTATAGTATCAGGGTGGTCACACCGAAAAAGTTGGGTTCTCACATATTTTTATGACCCTGCTATCGGTATTAAATTAAGCTACATAGGATCAGGCCCGTATCCAGAAATTTGTTTGGGGGGGGCTCAAGGAAAAAAATCAATAAAAAATGCGGACTTATTCGAATAAATTCAATAAATTAAATTAAATTTGGCTTTGTATCAGTCTACTGATCTATACGTTCCTGTTAGGTCAGGTTTCTTCTACTGAAGACTTTTTAATGAAAAGTCTTAAATAGAAAAAATTTTGGAATTCAAAAATTTCGGTGGGTGCCCGGGCCCCCCGGGCACCCCCCTGGATACGTGCCTGCATAGGATCTATTGTGTATAATAACATTTTCATATTCGAACATATTCGAATTTTTAGAAATCGTCTTGACAAAACATAAATGATTTCTCGATTTGGGAAACAATTTTAAGGGGGCATTCAACTTTAACTTTTAACTTTCCGAGTTTGGTCTTTGTTTTATTTTCTATAAATATTTAATTGATTGACCTAATTAACTACATTAGTAGATTTTTAGTTAAAATTCTCTTCATGAGGTTTGACAACTTACCATACATATACCGAACAACAAAATCGACGCGATTATCCCAGGAATAAGCCATTATGGTGTTATTTCTTTTGAGCTAATCGTCATAAAAATATTGACCCTAGAAATATCATTAAAAATAGACTTATATTATGTATGTATAAATAAACATATATATACTAATATTTTAAACTGCAGTTATATATAAATATACATATGTATTTATATAAACATTAGTTTTGGGTTTTAACTTTGTTCTAGTAAATATTAGCTCCTTACCTTTAGAATAGCTTACTTTAGACTAACTAAATTTTCTGCACCTCTTGCCAAAAGTCGTACACTTTGGCAACATTATTTATATTGCATGTATCTAAACATTTTATATAAATACATTTATTGTATAAGACATTTTTTTTAGGAATATATTTATACTCTTTCAAAAGGTTTTACAATAAAGAAAATATTACGAGCCTATAAATGGATTTATGATCGCTAAGCATCAACAATTTACGCAATTTGTTTTTGAGCAAACTAAACATTAGGTATTAGACCGAAAAAATACGGTCTAGAGTTTTTTTTTACATAAACGACTATATCAGCAACATGTTTTAATTTATACACCAACTTGATGACTTAATCAAACTGCTTCCGTTGAACTGATCTTGCCTTCCCTAGATTTTGTAATGGTAATTGTACTCTAAATCGAGGACTTACTTTTACTTTAATAGTATAAGAGATGATATTGTAAAATTTTTATATAATAACCTTTTATTTACAGCTTTTTCTGTATTTATCAATTTTATGCTCAAGTAATTATTTATAGTACAAGCAGAACCTATTATAAAAACACAATTTAAACAAAACATACATTTGTTATTTTTGGCATGTGTTATACACATATACAAGAACCTCGCAATAATCACAGGCGTATTTATACAGTTGTAAGTCAATAGGTCAAACCTATGTATATTTGTTCAAATATTTTAAATTATGCAGGCAAGTACCAATATTATAATAGGCTATCAAAACTGCGGAAATATCAAAAAATTAATAGTAAGATCTTATAAAAGTATTTTTAAAAAAGTAACACAAAAGTAACAAATAGAAAAGGAAAATCTTTAAGTTTGTGTTTAGTTCAAACGATATAAAAATCGAAGTAAAATATTTTTTTAAAACTGTACTTACAAAACAGTATTCTTGGAAAGAAGGGGTTTCGATACCTGATATATTCAATTATACTTAATTAATGAAATGCGTCTGAATATGACTAGTTTTCCTGATGGGCAGATGGTTTTTTCTTACAACTATTGAATTTTTTCATAAAATTTAATAATATCAGCCATAGAAAATCTATGTAAGTCTGTTTAAAATTAATGAAACAAATATTATAACATCACACAAGCATGATTTTGTGAGTTTCCAGTTAATACAGGGAAGTTCGAAAAATCTACTTAAAAAACACAGAGTTTTAATGAAAATCAGACGACTATATCATACAGCTGGTATAGGAACAATAATTTTGAATAATTATGAAAATTCATGGGTTTTGTTTGATGCTTAGCATTTGCACTACCATAAGTTTGTTAAGTTATAACATCATGTTCCTGACGTTGACCTCAGATTTTTTACGGAAAGCAAGAAGAGCGGCCTAGTAGACAGTTTAAACAGAAATTAAAAAAAGAAATGATTCTTCGGGGAACAGAAAAAGATCAATGGGAGGTAACGACTCGCTGTTCCTCCTCTTAGGAACTACATTTTGCCTACTTGGCAGCAACATGGTCAAGACGTCGTGATAAGATTGCTCTTACAGGAAAGTAATGAATGTTTTTCCAAGCTTTCCCATGATGTGTTTTTTAACGTTAAAGGTGTATCTTACCTGCATTCAGAAAGTGTTAGTGTGCGTAGTGGTGACTTTGACACTAGATACTAAAGCTAAATGACAAAGTTAAGGGAAAATCACTCCGCATGGAGGTTTACTTTTATTTTTATCAGGAAAGGAATGATTGCAACATTGCTACATAGGCGGATGACGTATACGTTATCTTCGCAGGTGGGGGGAAGAGTAGTTTGAAGAGTATGACTGTTTATCCTCCGCAGCGCCTTAAGAAAAAGTGGTTTTGCGGTGAACATCATAGGGCTTTAACGGATCATCTTACAAAAAAGGTGATATTCGTTGTAAAGATAATGAATTTACCAAGGTAATCAGGAAGAGTTTAAAAAAAAATTTTTTTGTCTAGTTTTGGGAGCACTTCAAAGTGAAGTTCTCAGGATCTTTGCTTGAGCGCGCTGTATGATGTCTATGTTAGTTTTGCTCGTGTTCCCCCAGAGCTGAGAGCCATACGTCCAGATTGGTTTAGGAGTGGAGTTGTAGAGCAGTACCTTGTAGTCCAGACACATGGGGGATCGGGCGTTTATAATCCAGTGGAGGCTGCTTGCTTTTACTTTTAGGTGTAGTTTCTTGCATTCGATGTGTCTACACCATGTTAGACGTCTGTCGAGGTGGACGCCGAGATACGTTACTTCGTTGACTTGGGGGTCTGCGTGCTATTCAAGTAGATCGGAGGACATGTTTGTCTGTTGAGAGTAAACGTTATTTGTTTACACTTCTGTTCATTTATTTTGATACGCTAGTGGGATAGCCACTTCTCTACTACCGTGAGGTGGTTGGCTAATTGGGATGTTGCATGGACTGGGCATCTGGAGCGGCTGAGTGTCGCAGTATCGTCAGCGAAGGTGGATGTTAGTAGTCGGTCGCTCGTGGGAATATCCACAGTGTAAAGGACAAATAGAGTAGGTCCAAGTGCGCTTCCTTCTGGGACTCCAGCTTCGATTTTGTAGTTGTGGGATGTTGTTGTGTTGCATCTCACTGCGAAGACTCTGTTGTAGAGATACGACTCAAGTAATTTATAAGTGTATCCGGGAAAGTGTGTTTTGATTTTGTGCATGAGACCGTTGAGCCAGACGCGATCGAATGCTTGGGATACGTCGGGGAATATCGCGCTGCAGTATTCTCTATGTTCGAAGGCTGTGCGAATCTCTGATGTTATTCTGTTGACTTGCTCGATAGTTCCATGTTTTTCTCTGAAGCCAAAATGATGGGCTGGGATAATGTTATGAGCTCCCATATATGGTATTATGCGAGTTAGAAGGCATTTTTTCGAACAGTTTGGACAGGCATGATAAACGACTTATTGGTCTGTAAGAGGACGGAATCGTGTGATCTTTTCCGGGCTTTGGTATCATTATAATTATTGACTTTTTCCATTTTTTTGGGTAGTAGCCAAGACTCCCATTGAAGAGTTTACAGATGACCTCAATAGCACAGTTTGGAAGTTCAATTATAATTTTTGGAGTTATTTGGTCACCGCCGGGAGCCTTTTTCGGTTTTAGCACCCGTATGACTTTGGTGATCTCGTTCGGTTGAAACGGTGTTATTGTGGATTCACTTTCAGTTTGGATTTGCGGTAGAACAAAATTATTTGCAGCGGGATTCGGCTGGAAGACGCCCCTGAGATGTGAGGCAAATGTTTTGGCTCTGTCTGTGTCGCTGCGCGCCCAGCCACCTGAAAAATTTCTTATCGGGGAGACGGTTTCAACCAGAGAGCTTAGGTTTAGGTGAGCCCTCCACAAGGGCACATCATAGGGCGTTTGCACTAGTTGGAGAGAGTTTCTTAATATATCTCAGTTGTGCGTTTTCGGCATCTTGCTTCAGAACCCGGTTTAGTTTGCGGGTGGCTTCACTTAGACGTTGCTTTGAGCATGGCGATCTGCTGGTTTGCCACGCCCGTCGCAGACGCCTCTTTTCCAGAACGAGCTGTTCAATTTGCAGGTTGGTTTTGAACTTCTTTATTTGCACATCATGTCGTTGTGGTGTTGAGATCCTGGCTGCTGTGACGTGTACCTCTTCCAGGGCGGCAGTCAATGTCCTCTTCAATATTGAGCTGGGTGGTCAGCTCAATGTGGGAACTCACGTACTTCCTGTATTTCATCCAGTCAGTTCTGTGCGACGTCAGCCTGTAGGGGTGGTCCGTAATTTCTGGGCTTTAAAAAAAAAAAAAATTTACATTCTGTTACTCCACCCGGGAGCTTAGAGCCTCTACAATTTCTTGTAGAGGATTCATTATCATTGGTTTTCGATCGTACCGGTGATAAGCCGGTAGCGACTTATCCTAGCGGTGGGGTTGCCACCTGGCGCCATCTAGGAGTGACGAAATTTCTATTGATGGGTCCATAGTAACGTGGACGGGGGGGTGTGCGGGTCCGGGGAGCCGAAATTTGTTACTAATGTTAAGTGAGCGATAGAGCATAGAAGTGGTGGAGATTTGGAAAAAGAGACCGTTTCTTTTTCTCGGGGAGCCTGGGCCTCGACTTGAACCCGGGCCTTCCGGACCGGAGGCCAGCGCTCTACCTGCTGGGCCACCGTCCCCCCAAAAGAAGGGTTATCAATAATGGAGAGTGGTCTGATGAGAGATCGGGTAGGGCCGTGGCGCTTATTAGGTCGCGGGGGATGTTTTTTGTCACCGCAAAATCAATTAGATCTGGAATCTTTCTGGGGTCTGCTGGCCAATATGTGGGGCTACCAGGAGAAACGTAGTCCAACTTATTTCTCACATTTATAAGTGCATTATAAAGTTGCTTTGCCTTGGGAGTAACGAGGCGTGATCCCCAGTGCGTATGCTTGGCGTTGTAATCTCCAGCAGCTATGAAGCGATCCCAAAATGAGTTGTAGAGATCCATGAATTGACCTTCAGAGATTGTAAAGCGAGGTGGGCTGTAGACAGCGGCGATGCAAAGGTTGTCGTTTCCTGACTGCACTTTTATGGGCGTGGCTTGGAAGTAATTGGTTTCAAACCTTTGGTGAAGATGGTGTTTGATTAATTAAGATACCGGTGGCGCCGTGGGCTTTACCATCGGGATGATCTGTGCGGTAGAAGGTGTAACCCCGTATGTGGAAGTTATATCTGCTTGTGAGGTGAGGTTCCACCAGCAGCATGGCGTCGATGTGTTTTACGTTTAGGAATTGTGTTATTTCAAGTTTATGCCGTGAAATGCCGTTGGCAATCCACATGGATATGCGTAGATTGGTCATTAATTTTTGGACTGTTGTGATACAGCGCTGGCCTCCGGTCCGGAAGGCCCGGGTTCGAGTCGAGCCCCAGGCTCCCCGAGAAAAAGAAACGGTCTCTTTTTCCAAATCTCCACCACTTCTATGCTCTATCGCTTACTTAACATTAGTAACAAAATTTCGGCTCCCCGGACCCGCACACCCCCTCGTCCACGTTACTATGGACCCAACAATAAAAA